TCCTTTCAACAGGCGGCAGCTTCTCCCAGGGGCCAGGACCAACCTCTGCGCGTGCTCCACCCCTCATCTCAACTGCGCCGAGCTCCGGAAAGGACACCCACCATCCGGGGCTCCCCAACAGAAGGTGCCAGGACTGAAAGCCACTGCTGGCCCTCCCCTCCTATTGGCAGCGCTTTCACAGCCTCACTCACACCAGGGTTCCACGCTTGCTCCAGCACCTCACCCCCACCAGACCCCATCACACAGCACAAGGGGCACGCAGGGTGCCACAGCTCCAGGTGCAGGCAGGGGGTTACAGCTCCCAGCAAAGGCCAAGCTGCAGACAAGGGGTGCAGGCAGCAGCGCTGCTGCAGGTACCCCCCAGAGTGGGACAGGGCCCTGCCTTGCTGGGGCCACAGGAGTCTATCTCCACCCACAGGTCCTGCCCCCAACAGAGACCACTGGGATCCCCCCCAAACCAGGACCTGTGGAATCCTCATGTTCTCAGCACAGTCCAGATCAGCAGCCCCCAATGCCACATGATGACACAGACCCACAAGGCACCCTGATTTAGGGGACACCACTCACACCCCACCAGCCCCTCTGTGCCTGAGGGAGGGGGTGTTGCAGCCCCACAGCTGCAGGGGACCCACGGCAGTGAGGGAGCATGTCTTCCCTGATGCTCCTGCAGATCAGCTGTGCTGGGACCTGGTGTAGCCACACAGCAGGGACTCCCCTGACTTCCCCCCACACACCCTAGTAAGAGGGAGAAAAAGGGGCCACTGTGGTTTAACTCGTTTTATTTAGACTCATAAAGGTAACTGTGGCCCGGCTGGACCATGCACATGGGGCTGAGACCCAGTAGAAACGCAGCAGTAACTCAGGAGTAGGGTAGGATGGGGCGAGCTGCAGCGGGGCACAGCACCCAGGCTGCCCAAGGAATGGTCAGTCGTTAAGAGGAGGGTTTACGAGAGCTGCCCGCAGTCGGTAATGGTGATCTTCTTGCTTGTTTTGCCATCTTTGGAGCCACAGCGCTCCATAGCCTCCACCACATTCATCCCCTCCTTGACACGGCCAAAGACAACGTGCTTGCCATCCAACCTGCAGGAGAAGCACCGATCACAGCTGGCACATGCTGTCCCCATGCAGGGACCTTGCCACCAGGCCTGGCACATCACATCCCTACCTGGGACCCCCAAACCTGCCCCCCCACCGCCCCCCACTCACCATTCAGTCTTGGCAGTGCAGATGAAGAACTGGGACCCGTTCGTGTTGGGGCCGGCATTGGCCATAGACAGGATGCCAGGGCCCGTGTGCTTCAAGATGAAGTTCTCATCAGGGAACTTCTCCCCATAGATGGATTTGCCGCCAGTGCCATTGTGGCGCGTGAAGTCACCACCCTGCAGAGCAGCAGCATTTCAGGTCACGGGCTCAGCACAAGACCCAAACCAGATGCAGCAGGCCTTCAGAGGCCACAGGTAGGAGGCAGAACCGTCTTTCCCACCCCAAATCTGCCAGCACCCAATTCCGAAACCCACGCAAGCACCAGATCTCCTCACCCACCCACCTCCCTGCTGTGGTGGGAGCACCACGCACCTGGCACATGAACCCAGGAATGATTCTGTGGAAGCAGGACCCCTTGTAGCCAAATCCCTTCTCACCAGTGCTCAGGGCACGGAAGTTTTCTGCAAAGGAAGAAGAAAACCACCATGAATGGCTCATTTTTTCCAAACTTAGGGAGAGCACTGGGTTTGGCACAGCCACAGTGTAGCCAGTGCCGCACTACTACCAACCTGCTGTCTTTGGGACCTTGTCTGCAAACAGCTGCAAAGAGAGGAGAAATTGTTAGCCAGGTTGCATAAAGACCGGTCACCGCCCTCGGGGGCGCCCGCAGCCACCCCCTCACTGCTTGGAGCCCAGGGACCCCCTCCAGGAGGTGAATCCTGGCCATGCCTGCGGCTGCAGAGCATTCCCCACCTCAAGCTTTCATCTGGAGGCATCTGGAAACTCTGAACTAACAGACATGGCATCCAAACGAGTTCAAATATGCTGCATGTCTCCTCAACGGGGCAGATGCACATTCGTTCCGTTGGCCGGGATTAAATTAAAAACCTATTTGACTCAAGCCTTCCCAGGCAGAGAGCGCACCACCTCCCAGTTACTCCAGGACGGTTGTGGGCAGCAAGCAAGCAGCCATCTGCACGGCGAGGCGCT